ACGCATATATGCCCCCTCATGTCAACATAAAAGTGTTTAGGGTAACAGGCAAATGACTCTGCAACTCATTTTATCAATCTATCTTCCTATATTTGTTTATTCCAATTCTACATGTATTAATATGTAACTGAGAATATATAAATATGTAGACATTTTCCTATAGAAAATATTATATGCATATATATACATATACATAAACTTAATTGTATATATATATATATATATATATGAATATATGTGAATAGCTATATATGCTAGCATAAAAGCACTAAAATTAAAATGAATAGCAAAGTTATTCTGCGAATATTTTCATTTCGATTGAGGAGATTCCAGATCTCAATTAAGTTCCAATATAAGTGCTAACATTTTTCGTTTATAAGTAGGGTAAGGGGGGGGACTTTCACATAGCCTCGATTTCCTTAAAGGTGTTCCCATCCAAGCAGCAGTGGACTGCCACTTCGACATTGCCTAGGCCTTCTTAACACACCCAGCGGGACTCGAACCATGACAGTGCAACATGTGATCTCTACTCACATGACTGTGGTAAAATTCAACTAGCCGTCCTTCGTCATCTCAAACGAAATAGGGTGAATAAATCTCATATAATTACTCACAATTATGACTAGTGGCTTTCTGCCCTGACTTAGCCATCCATATACACAGATACATATGCACCTTTGCCGATGTTAAAGTACTTAGAACAGTTATATATATATATATATATGCAAAGAGAGAGAGAGATAGAAAGAGAGGAAGATATAGTTACACATACCTATATATATGTCTTTATACACACATATATGCAAGCATAAAAGTACTTTGAATTAAATGAATAAAAAAGGTATATATACATATTTATATATACCTGATAACGTCGTATCGGTTCGTCACCATGGCAACCTTCAAAATGGGTCAGGTTCAAGCCCTTGTGTGAAATAGCCTTTACACATCCTAAACACAGCCTGGCATGGGTCTTGGCCTCAGATGATAGATGGGAGCAGAGGTGCAGTCGAATTTGTGAAATGAGGTAACCTTTTGTGGCTGTCTGCCGGCCAGGCCACTGGAAGATGGCATTTGGCAGCCAGACAACAATAGAAGTGCTTCGCCATCCTCCTAGCAACTGGGCACAAATGCTGAGACGGGTCGAGGCCAAGTTCGTGCCCTGCCAGCATTGCCATTGGACACATCTCGTGGACACTGGCAATCGGCGGCGATGCAACAGGGCTGAAAGTGAACGGTAGAACCGCGTGGGCCGGTAACCGGGCCAGTGGCCGAATGGGTGCATGACTGGCGGAGGTTCGGAGTGGCGGTGCAGCATGGCCTGGCCGGCATGGGCGGATGTATGCATCGTTCCTGGTCAGACGAACAGGGCTCGGAAAGCAGACCGTTCTACGGCAGGCGATGCCAAGAAAGACTGCATCGGACTAAGAAGGCGAGAGGAAAAAGCTCATTTTAGATTGTCTGCGATGCGGATGTGACTAAAAGTGTCTTGATTAAGTACAGGCTTAATTTGATTTTCGATGGCAAATCATAAACTCTAATAAAATCGGCTTATTGTGCTTCCTGCAGAGGACGGTTGAAATCGGGTCTGTATTTGCCTAATTGTGAAATGTCCGCCCTCATTCTCGGAAATAGGCTTCATAATTGCACACACGCTTGTGTAAATTCTACTTATTTATCACTGCAATCGTACATAAGAAAGAAGGAGATTGCGAAACGGCTTGCATTTCGAGTAAAAGTGTGTGACAAAGAGGTTTGTAGCACGAGCCCAGGAGGCGATGGCAACGGATTTCAAAGGTGGATAAGGCCAAAAGACGATGGCAGATTCTCTCTCTTGGCCGGCTGTCGGTTGGCGTTGCTGGAACATTCCGGTTGGTGCCGTCTTCGAGACAATAGTTTGCGATTCCGATAGAAACAGGCGCCACTTTCTTGAGTCATATGACAGACAACATCATTAATACTACTATTTTATTGACTCGTTAGCCTTACTACGGTTGCAGGAATGCTACCCTGCTTTGCTGGTTTTTCCGGCCAAATTCCCCAAGTATGGCGCGATAAAGAAGATTTACTAATAACAATGTTCAGTTTTGCTCGTTTTAAGTGCGAGACAGCCAGACGACGTCAACAGCCGAAGGAATAGAAGACTTCGGCATGCCAGTGCTTTTAAGTGGGCCATTCCGAATCCGAGTGGTGCG